CAGCCTTTCCCAGCCACGCCCGGTCTTTCCCAGCACTCCCCGCCCCGCCCCGGCCACGCCCCCGGCCACAGCCCTAGCTCTTCCCCAGCTCCACCGCTGCTCACAGGCCCCAGGACACACCTGCCCTGGGGGCACCTGGACGCCTGGCACCTGTGCGCTTGTCCCAGGACGATGGCCAAAGAGAAACCTCGGCCTTGGGTTCAGTCTACCAAAGCCGGGACAAGGCTGCCCTTGGGCATTTGCTATCAAATTGCACGTCTCTTGCCCGTGACAGGATACAAACAACAGAGGGACCCTCCATGGGGGTGGGACAGGCTCCAAATGCAAGTCTTCATGGATGTTCGGGAGATGCATGTACACCACGGGCTTTCCCACAAGACACTCAAGTGGACAGACACTGCCCTCCCTCGAGTGGCCACTACTGCTCCCCTCCGGAGGCCCAATCCCCCTGATCAGGTAGAGAGGAGGCTGGGCGGGTGAGGGGCTCACCCCGTGGGCCAGCCTTGCCTCCTGGGCTGAGGCCCTGGATGCACCCTCACCTCACCTGGCAGACCGACCATTTGAGAGTAGAAGCAGACTAGAAGGGGACATCAGTCCACTCCCACCCTCCCTGCTGCCCTACTGTGCACGGAGAAAGGTCTAGGACCCGCCCGAGGCACTCATGCCCCCACCCCTCTGCTGTCTGAATGCAGGGCCCCTCTTCCCAAGTAGGGACCCCCTAGGTGGGTACCCCTCCCTGCTCCCTCGGTGGGTAACAACACTGTTTTTTGCTTTCGCAAGACAGGCCCCTGTGAATCCACGCGGGAGGGGGAGGACCCCCAGCCCCAGATGTTCTCTCACTAATGTGGCCCCTCAAAGGGCCGGTTGGAAGGGCAGCAATTGCCCTCGGTGGTGGAGGGGGGCTTCCTGCAACCCCTGGGGGAGCAGGGAGTCTGAATGTGTTGAAACAGAGATGCAAAGGGTTTCCCATTCCCCACCGGCTCTCCTAACCGGGACGCTCAGCACCTGGTTTCGTCTTGACCTTTATTAACCCGACGGACGGGATGGATTCATTTCCCCCTAATTGGCTCTAGGACTCTCCTCATTAGGAGACGAGCAGTTGGCATTTCTACAATCAGAGAAGTGACATTGGCCCCGAGACCACAGAATTACTCCTCTAATTAGGTTGCATCGATCAGAAGGGCCGTGCGGGCGCCCGTGTTAACGACGGATCAGAGGCGGGGGCGGCAGCTTGGAGGCCCCTGTGCACGGGAGCAGGTCCCGGAAAGGCAGGAGGAAGAATCTGCAGAAGCGAGGGGAGGCCTGGCTGCACCCTTCCCGACACCAGCTGGGGTGGAGGAGGGGGCCTGGCAGTCGGAGGCATCAGAGAGGCGGGAGGGGGGTGCTTTTGGGCGGGGAAAATGCATGGATCCCCTCTCCAAGCTGCCTGGGAGCACCTGGCCCCAGGTGCCCACAGTCAGTCTCCACCCACTGACCCTCAGGACAGGGCGGGCCAGTCCCCTTGGCTGGAGTTCAAGGTCAGACAGGCCTTTCGGATATGAGTGAATGCCAGGCTCCCACACTGATGTCAGCATTCCCCAACCTAATCCATATCTACACCTGCACCCGCTCCTGTATCTGCACCTGCACCTGCGCCTGCGCCTGCTCCTGCTCCTCCTCCTGCACCTGCTCCTGCGCCTGCTCCTGCTCCTCCTCCTGCACCTGCTCCTGCGCCTGCTCCTGCTCCTCCTCCTGCACCTGCTCCTGCGCCTGCTCCTGCTCCTCCTCCTGCACCTGCTCCTGCGCCTGCTCCTGCTCCTCCTCCTGCACCTGCTCCTGCGCCTGCTCCTGCTCCTCCTCCTGCACCTGCTCCTGCGCCTGCTCCTGCTCCTCCTCCTGCACCTGCTCCTGCGCCTGCTCCTGCTCCTCCTCCTGCACCTGCTCCTGCGCCTGCTCCTGCTCCTCCTCCTGCACCTGCTCCTGCGCCTGCTCCTGCTCCTCCTCCTGCACCTGCTCCTGCGCCTGCTCCTGCTCCTCCTCCTGCACCTGCTCCTGCGCCTGCTCCTGCTCCTCCTCCTGCACCTGCTCCTGCGCCTGCTCCTGCTCCTCCTCCTGCACCTGCTCCTGCGCCTGCTCCTGCTCCTCCTCCTGCACCTGCTCCTGCGCCTGCTCCTGCTCCTCCTCCTGCACCTGCTCCTGCGCCTGCTCCTGCTCCTCCTCCTGCACCTGCTCCTGCGCCTGCTCCTGCTCCTCCTCCTGCACCTGCTCCTGCGCCTGCTCCTGCTCCTCCTCCTGCACCTGCTCCTGCGCCTGCTCCTGCTCCTCCTCCTGCACCTGCTCCTGCGCCTGCTCCTGCTCCTCCTCCTGCACCTGCTCCTGCGCCTGCTCCTGCTCCTCCTCCTGCACCTGCTCCTGCGCCTGCTCCTGCTCCTCCTCCTGCACCTGCTCCTGCGCCTGCTCCTGCTCCTCCTCCTGCACCTGCTCCTGCGCCTGCTCCTGCTCCTCCTCCTGCACCTGCTCCTGCGCCTGCTCCTGCTCCTCCTCCTGCACCTGCTCCTGCGCCTGCTCCTGCTCCTCCTCCTGCACCTGCTCCTGCGCCTGCTCCTGCTCCTCCTCCTGCACCTGCTCCTGCGCCTGCTCCTGCTCCTCCTCCTGCACCTGCTCCTGCGCCTGCTCCTGCTCCTCCTCCTGCACCTGCTCCTGCGCCTGCTCCTGCTCCTCCTCCTGCACCTGCTCCTGCGCCTGCTCCTGCTCCTCCTCCTGCACCTGCTCCTGCGCCTGCTCCTGCTCCTCCTCCTGCACCTGCTCCTGCGCCTGCTCCTGCTCCTCCTCCTGCACCTGCTCCTGCGCCTGCTCCTGCTCCTCCTCCTGCACCTGCTCCTGCGCCTGCTCCTGCTCCTCCTCCTGCACCTGCTCCTGCGCCTGCTCCTGCTCCTCCTCCTGCACCTGCTCCTGCGCCTGCTCCTGCTCCTCCTCCTGCACCTGCTCCTGCGCCTGCTCCTGCTCCTCCTCCTGCACCTGCTCCTGCGCCTGCTCCTGCTCCTCCTCCTGCACCTGCTCCTGCGCCTGCTCCTGCTCCTCCTCCTGCACCTGCTCCTGCGCCTGCTCCTGCTCCTCCTCCTGCACCTGCTCCTGCGCCTGCTCCTGCTCCTCCTCCTGCACCTGCTCCTGCGCCTGCTCCTGCTCCTCCTCCTGCACCTGCTCCTGCGCCTGCTCCTGCTCCTCCTCCTGCACCTGCTCCTGCGCCTGCTCCTGCTCCTCCTCCTGCACCTGCTCCTGCGCCTGCTCCTGCTCCTCCTCCTGCACCTGCTCCTGCGCCTGCTCCTGCTCCTCCTCCTGCACCTGCTCCTGCGCCTGCTCCTGCTCCTCCTCCTGCACCTGCTCCTGCGCCTGCTCCTGCTCCTCCACCTGCTCCTGCACCTGCACCTGCACCTGCACCTGCTCCTGTACCCGCTCCTGCTCCTGCACCTGCACCTGCATCACCTCAGTCACCAGACATCTCCAAGGGTCTGAAGAGGGGGCATCTTGCAAAAGACCAGGTGCCGTGACCCTGGTTTGGTCTCCATGTTGCAAAGTGGGGTCTGGGCTGAAGCTGGACAGAGGGAAGTCAGCATCGGGGAGAATCTGTGGGACTCACCTCCCGACTCCACTGCTAACATGTGTACTTGCGGGCTGGCTCTAAATTTGTGATTTACAACTGGGTCATGTCAGAGATTTAAATACGGCTGCAAACAGCCCTGAAATGTCCCCAAGGACCTGAGATTCGGCAAACGATCACTTTATCAGACACACGGGGATTGTTTCATGCACTTGGGGGGATTCCTGCTATGATATCAGGCAATGGAAATGCTTAAAGAGAAAGGAAAACACATTTATAAGCATCGTTTTAAAAGGTTCAAGGGGATTTGACGGCAGGCAGCAATGGAGCTGATTGTTTAATGGCATTTAGTCTGTGCAGCCGCGGTAATCGAACATTAATCAAAGAAAAGGGGGGTGAGTGTTATTCTATTAGATTTATAGCCATCGTCACCCGATCTCTAGGCTTAACCTCAATGCCTACAGCAAAGAGGTTTGAAATGGGCCACTTCAATACACTGTATATAAATTTTTAAAAACTTGCCTTAAATAGTCTTTTTGGTGAATAACGGCCACAGGCAAAAATCAAAACAACAACAACAACAAAAAACCACAGACGAAGCTCCAGAAACAGAGCACACAAAACAAGAGCCACACACCAGTCAGAGCTCACCCACAGCTCCACGCCCGGGAGCCCGCGTGGCCCAGGTCCCTGGGGCTTCCTCCAGGGGTATTTACGGAGCAGCCCAACCTCCCCGGTCACCCCCAGGCACAGCAGGCCCCAGAGGCCCCGGGCAGGCGGCGGCCCCCACACCGGCCGCATGAACAGCCCCTGAGAGTCGGTGGGTGACGGCGACCCCAGAGGACTTCAGGCCACGGTCCTCCCGCCACCCCGAGTCACACCCCCTTTGACAGAGAGCAGGAGGGCACTGTGGGCCTCGCATCCTCGCTGGGTCAAGGGTGGAGTCCGAGGGGACGGCGGAGGTGCCCCGTGCCGGGCGAGGTGCCATCCTGTGGGCCCAGCACCTCCGGCCCCTGAACCAAGCTGCCCCCATGCCCCCCCACCCAGGGGGACTCGGGTGCCCATATCCACCTCTGCACCCCGACTTTCCACATCCGAAGAAGACAAACACACAAACAGCTCGAGGACCGTTCAAACGCCCAGCGCCAAAGGGACAAGCTTCTAGAATTCCCAGCCGTCCTCGCTGCCCACCCCTGAGCGTGACGCGGCGAGAATGAATGGCTCTCCCGGCTGGTGTGGCTCAGTGGTTGAGCATCAACCTATGAACCAGGAGGTCCCGGTTTGATTCCCGATCAGGGCACACGCCCAGGTTGTGGGTCAAGTAGGGGGCAGCCGATCCATGATTCTCTCTCATCATTGATGTTTAAATCTCTCTCTCCCTCTGAAAAAAAAAATATATGAATAAATGGCTCAAATGATTAAAATTAACCTAAATGTGCAATCTTTTCTTATTATATTCAGCAGACACCACCCTCCTCGTCCCAGTGCCATCGAGCTCGTACGTGGACTCTCAGTGGGGGCTCCGTGTCCCAATGGGGGACACGCAGCTCTCTGGCCGACCCGCCCGACCCCCCAGGCCAGCCCCACATGCCGTCCTCCTCAGCGGTCACTTACCCTCATGCCCAGCTCGATGTTTTCGCCGCCATACACCTCCATGCCTGGGTCCAGGAGGCCGATGTCCCCGAAATACTCCCGGTCCACCACGAAGGAGCAGCCGATCATGGCGGGGGTCCTGGCGGGGGCAGACAGCGGATGAGGGGGCGGGGCCCGGCCAGTGCCCTGCAGTGCCTGCTGGCCCACGTGCTGTCCCCAGGCCCTCACACCTCACGCCTCACCCCCCTCCCCTGGGCTCCTGGCCTCCCTCAGCCACCAGGACTGAGGCGGGGGCCCCCCACCGGCTGGTCTCTGCGTCCCTCGGGGCCTGGTGACCCGCCCG